GTCAAAAAAAACATGCGCTCCATTCAAACTTTTCCCATGCATATAATTTATATGCAACTCGGTTTTTTTTTTTTATTTTGATTATTTAAATAACAAATTTTGCCAAATAGCTTTGAACAATGAATGCGTATGCTAAATAGACACGCCCCTAACACACACACACTCCCTTAAACAAACATACAAATGCCAAAAAATGTTGAGCATTTATGCATAAACAATTTTCATAAAATAATCAAGTTACGCACATACATATGCACATACGCTTGACTAATATATAGAGAAAACCCACTGTATTTCGGGCAAGAAAATGGCAGATATGTAAAAAATAAACGAGAAAGTAGGAATATCTTTGGCACGACGAAGATGTTATACCCTTTTCGATTTTTGTAGTATAGCTTGCAAATGAGTTTGATGTAAATAGTTTAGAAAACAGAATATTTTCCCATATAAGAACACATTTTTCGGACGAACGTTCCTATGGCATCTATTGGATATTAGAAAAGACAGACCTATGCAAACATTCAAGACGATAGCTGAGAGAAACCTAATGGACTAGCTCGTATAGAAACAGACAAGAGCTATGTCAACTCGGCTATTGATGCTGATCCATAATATGTACTCTTTATGTAGAGTATCCTTCTGCCTTGACTAAATTATAATACCCACACAAGTGTACAAAATATGTAGGTATATCACATTGTTGCACACATTTATGTACACACATATATTATTAATTTTTCTTGGCTTCCGTAGACAGACAAAAATTTGAGCTCTCAGTGGGTTAGCCGTGAAAATATGGTCGAGATTCTCGCTGAGCTACAGTGCAGCTAAATTAGCCTGGCCTGGCTTAAGGGTCAGAAAAACAAGAACAAAAGCAGCAGAGCAGCAGCAGCAGCAGCTGCTGCAACAACAATTTAAACCGAAGGTTGCAACGCGCCACGCGCAACTGCAACAATTGAAATGAAAATGTAGATTCTGTGTGTGTGTGTGTGTGCCTGTATAGCTCTGAGTGGGTGCTGCATTGTTATTCTTGTTGCTTTGGCATGCATAATAGAGAATGCAAAGCCAAAGCCAAAAGGCGCCAAGCACTCAACGAGACTAAGGGTTGGATTTTCTATAGCCAGCGCATGAATGTCTATACGCCAACGCTTCTGAATAGTTCCCTATCTCTCAAAGGGCATACTAACTTAGACAAGTAACGCATATATTTATGCGAATTGAAATTGAATTGATGTTGCTGCGAAAATAGTTTGAAGTAATACTAGCTGGGAATTAAATTGTCTTCAAGCAAACACAAAGCTAGCGAAACTCCTTTTTGACTGCATAAGCGAGAGTTTTGGCGATTTTTCATCGGAAAAATTTCCATTTTAACAATTTACAGGGTATACGTTAACAATTTGCGGTCAATAAGATTTGTCGTTACCGTGGCAATATCTAAAAAGCTTCAAGCCCATTTTCATATATATTTGCAGAGTATGCAGCTGTTATTTGAATCGAACTACCATTCTTTGTACTAATCTACACATCTAAATCGATGTTTTAAGCACAGCTATTAGGGTATTAAGCGCGAGATTTACCCCAGGTAATTCGGTCTAAGGTACACACACTCACCGGCACGTGAACTTAACTAGCTTCATACACATATGCAACACCGTCTACCTACAACTCACAATGTTTGCTCGGCTACGTGTCCGAGCTCGTCTTTGCACACCCTGCCCCGGCCACAGGACTCGCCTGGTAACCACTTTAATATATGAAAAACCATCCAATTTTTGTTTACTTGCAAGTGTTTGTTCACGTTTGTTTATTGTTGTAGCTGTTGTTGTTGCTGTTTTATTGTGTTGCAGTTGTTGTTGTTGGCTATTTGATGGCGCTTTTGTCACTCGGCATTTCACTTTCACTGAAATTCCCTGCGGCCCGGATCTCTCATTTTGTTTTGTACAGCGCAAGGCAAATAGAATTTCACGTAATTATTATGGATAGTCGCGTTATCAGTGTCATCAGCTCGTAATTTAACCTTTCTATCTGTATTTGCTTTCTCTCTCAGTTGCTTTCTTCCTGTCGAAACTCTAATTGGCTGTTGGCCCCGTCACATGCAAATCCCTCGTTTCTCACTGATTTCGATTACACAGCGCCGACTACTTTTCATTTTTATTTATTTTTGCCTCTTTTTTTCAGGCTAATTGCATTACAGCACGCGCTTTAAAGTCAATGAACGGTTAGCTCGACATTTTTCAACAAAAAAGGCGGCATGGCGCCAGGCTCAAGCACGCAAATGTCAACAACAGCAAGAACAACAACATTAACAAGCGGTACAACAAATTGCAAAAGAACAATAAACAATAAAATGTCATATGTGGCATGCGGCAGCAGCGAACTCCTGAGCATTTTTATCTTGTGCATAAAAATAAAAGGATTTGGCTTTCAGAATGCATTAAAATAGCCCCCCGAAAGGTGAAATGCACTACGCGAAAAATGGGGATTGGTTTAAAATATGTTTAAATATAAATGTATCAAGAAAATGAATTCTTCTGATGTCTGATCCCAAAAAGCTTCGTATTTAGAATTAAATAAATTAAAAATAGTCTGTATATTATCAACAATTTTTTTTATATATAGACATACTCAACAAGTGTTGGAAATATATCTTATATATCGTGGAGAAAAAATGATAAAAATAATCCGAAATATATAAAATATAAAAAGTTGTCCTATACAACCTAGAATCAATATAAAAACTATTTCAATATGAACTCGCAATTGTATACATGAATGCAAGGCCCATTTGCAATTAAAAACTAAGTAGAATCAAGCTCAAAAGAGGTCTTTTTCTCACAGTGCAATTAAGTTGGGTGCACAGCTGTCAGAACGGCGCCTACGCCCAAGCACCAAAATATATTTGCATGTGTGAAAAAGAAGGAGCAAGAAACATGGGCAAGCCGAGGGCAAACTCGCTGCGGGCAGTCGTTAAGTCAAAGGGCTGATATTACTTGGGCAACACACACAAATCAAAGTAAAACACGAAAAACAATATGTCAAATGTTATTATACATTAAATTAGTTAAGAGCCACAGTAATAAAATGCACAAACAAACATGTGTAGGTATAATAAAGTTAAATGTCGTCTCCATGTGTGTGTGTGTGTGTGTGTGTGTGTGTGTGTGTGTGTATCTCTGTCTTACTTTCCCCAGCTCACTCTCTCCGTCTCTCTCTCTCGCTCTCTCACTTTCTTAGTTCATTGCTTGAGACGTTGTTACAACATTTGCCCAGCAGCAATTTGTCACGTGAATTTCAGTTGCCTTATTGTTGTTGTTTTTGTTGTTTAGTTGGGCCATTGTTGTTGTTGTTTTTTTTTTTTGTGACATTTTTGGTTGTTACGTTGAGCCGAGGCAAAGCCAACAAATTACAACTGTTTCGAGTCACACAAAATTCTGTTGCATGCTTTGAGGCGTTTCTTCCTTTTTTTTTCTTGTGGTTTTTACCTTGTTTTAGTATTTCTCTTTTGTGTTTTTCGACATGTTTACGTGTTGAAGACACAACATGACAGACTACATAAAGATGTGCAGACACAATGAATGAATAAACCGAATGCTGTGAGTACATTCAAACGATTCAGCCAAGAATAGGCGTACATTCAACAATTGGTTGGTCAAGAGGGTTGACATTTAGTTTGCAATGTGAATTGCTGCACATTTTTAAAATAATTAATTATCGAGTAATAATTATAATAATAAATATTTATAATAATAATTCATAATTAATAAGTTATGTTAATATTATTTAATTATTTATCAGTATTTATTGGCATGAAAATTAATTTTTTTCAATGCGTAAATAGTTTTTATAAGTTTGAATAGCTTGTTTTAAGCGTTGTTCAAAAACTTTGCTAAGCTTGACTTTTTCTGAAGTATTTTAATATAAAGCAAATTATCTTTTAAATTTATTTAAATGTGTTTGGGGGCAGTCCTTATATTTATCTCAAAGACCGTAATTAACAGCCTTCCCACAATTACAGCACAACTCAATTAAAGACTGATAAATAAAAAAAAAAAAAAGTTTTTATCAGCTATGCTGCAATTAACTGCCAGATAATTTATTGTTTTCAAACATTTACCCACAGCCAGTGGCAAATAAATTGAATTAAATGTGAATGATGAGCTATTGAATATGAATGAAATGTATATTTAAAAAGACGGCAGCATTTAAAAACATTCGTTGGCAGCATGCAAGTTGGCAACATTGCGCTAATATCTGCATGTCAAATATTTAACAGGGCCAAGAGTTGACTGTAAATTGTTTTGCCGCTTACAGCAAGAAATGAAAAGAAAATAAACTTTGATAACAAATCAAAATTGATGTTAATTGTGAAGTATTTCTTCTGGTTAAATTGATTACTGAAAATCGATAGCTGTAAATAAATTAGCTAATAAATGTTGAAGGTAATAAACAAGGTATTTGAACTGTTGTCTCTGTTTGTAGATGCTTCAGCTCCTGTCTGCAGCACACCTGGGGGAATAAGAGCGCACTTTACACACCTGTTCAGTCATGTGATATAACAAGCTGACTACCCCCTGACGTTCTATATGTATATTCTTTTTAATGCATTTTTACTCTATGAAGAACAACAAGCAGCCGCAATTCAGCACTGCCCCGCGCTCAACGGTTGCTTGTTGATTTTAGTTAATGAATTAAGTTTGTTTTAAAAACAATTTTTTCCATTTTTTTTTCGATTTTTTTTTGTGAAGTGCATGCAAACATGCAATGTCTGGCATAAGTATGAAACAATAAAAAAATGTTATATAATAAATGTACATATAGAAGAGAGAAAAAATTGTTGTTTATGGTTTTAAAAGGTTACTAATTAGCAAGGGACACGCTGGGTGGGGGTATATTGCGTGATATGCAACAAATATGACAGCTTTAAGATGGAACATAACGTGCACTAGTAGTTGGGCATTTGTGTTAAGTCTGTGGGCGTGGACGTGGCGGCAGACACTCACCTATCCCTCAGGCAAATTTTGTACTCATGCTGTGAGTCGTGGTCACTGTTGCAGCTATCATTATAATTAACGGCAGACTGGCGTTCTCTTTCCTGTTGCTGTTGCAAGTTGATCAGCTGCTTGTGGAACAGTTCCTGCTGTGATTGCAGCAGTTCCTGATGGTGATCCTGCAGCGCGGCCAAATGTGATAGCTGTTGCTGATATGGCGATTGCTGTTGATGTTGTTGCTGCTGCTGCTGCTGCTGCTGCTGCTGTTGATGCTGCGGTGGACTGTGTTGCTGCTGCAACGCAGGTGACACTGGCCGCAATGGACGCTGATATGGATGATGATAATGCTGCTGCTGTTGCTGCTGCTGATGCCTGGCATGACCATTACCTGACTTGCCCGCCGCTGCCGCTGCTGCCGCCGCTGCGGCCTGTGCGCTATGATTGAGCAGGTGCATACTCTGGCTGCTGCGGCGATGTGTGAGCAGTGTTAGACAGCTTTTTGTATCCACTTCGGCCAAGCCAAACTCGAGCTCGGCCTGTGCCTGCTGCTCGTATGCATGTTGCGCCTGTTGCAATCTCTCGCGTTCGCTGCGCGGCGAATTGGCCAATTGTTCGGCAGGTGGTTCGATCTCAACGGCTGAGTAATCATAGTCCAGTTGATGCCGTGTTCCATGATGCTGATGCGCCGGATGATGGGCATTATTTGTTGGTTTATTGCCATTGGCACTGGCCGCCACAGCGCCTGTGCCCGGCGTCGCTTTGGCAATTTTACCCGCCAGCGCGTCCAGAGAACTGAGCATGATTTTATGACGATCTCCCTCTATCTTTCTCTATATTGTACTCCCTAAATCTTTACGCTCTCTCTGCCTCTTTTGCTCTGTTAATTTTTCACTTCTTTTCTATGTTTTCCACGCGTTTTTCGAGTCCAAGTGCGCTGTAATTGTTGTTGTTGTTGTTACAGCTTACTTGATTCAATTTAATTTTGCAATAAATTATTTATGTGAGAATTCTTGAGATTGTTGTTGTTTCTTGCTGCTCACTTGCGTTGCTCTCTTTAGTTTTTCTCACTTTCTTTCTGTTCTGTCTGTCTTCTGTTTAGCTATATTTGCCCTGTTTATTGTTTACTTGCCTGAGGGAAAAGTTGGGAGGCAAATTGCAAATTGGATTAGTACAAATAAACGCCAAAAAAAATGAAATTAGTTGGTTAAGATGGTTGTGTGACGGCGACCTTGACAATCATTACACACACACACACACACACACACACATGTATGCACACTAGCACATACACACATAAGTATAAACATATAAATTCTCTTTGTTAAAAGTCTCTTTCAGTCTTTGGGTCGCGCCCCTCGCTCTTGTGCACTGACATTTGCGTTTCTTGTTGTCCTGAAAGTCGCCTACGTGCGCTGTGTGCATGTGTGTTGTTCGTGTGTATGTCCATGCTTCGGTGTGTTTGTTTACGTTGCATTTGTGTTTATTTTGTAGCTTAGGTCAGCTACATTTCACTTAAGCTGGTGCTAGAAACTCTTCTACAAAATGCCAACGCACAAACACAAAACGTATGAAGCACACACACACACACAAACACTCACACACCCCAGCGGCTGAGTGTGCGTGTGTGTAAGTGTGAGTGTCTGCAAGTGTGTGGTTGTAAAATGCAAACACTTGAGCCATAGAAGCTTGACACTGAATGCCAACAGCAGCAGCAGCAGCAGTTGATGGGTGGCCATAGCCAAAGGGGCAGCTCATGTGGGGTCTGTCTGTGTTGGTGTGCGTGTGTAGTAGGTGGGTGCTGCCCCAGCCGCTTGGGGCACTGAGGCGGGCTCAGTTTAATGGTCAACATTTTGAGGCATTTTTGTATGATGCTGTCGTTGCCTTCGGGCAGCAACAAATCAGACAATAAAATGAGAGAATCAGAAAAACTCAACTCAATTGATTGGAAGATATTAACTAGGTTCCCAAAAACTTAAAAATGTAAGCTTTAGTACAAACAGATCGTAAGAATACACAAAAATAGTCCCAAATAAATATATACTGTGAAAGCCCCGCAAGTCTCCCTAATAGCAAAAAATTAAAAGTAATATCGTGTTTTTTTCGATTTTCCATCTTTCCCCTAATTAATTCTTAACAATAGGTAGTTCATTTTCTCATGATATGATTTGGACAACAAAAAAAGTGTCTTAAATTTCGCTACCTTTCCGCTTTTTTTTTTAATTATCTTCCATATATACATTTATGTTACACGCTATGCCTTTATTTTTGCTAATTAAGCGCAGAAGCCTGGCCATTTTAAAGATGATAAAAAAAAAATTGGTTTTGTTAGTTTTTCACTACTTTCCTGAAGATAACTTCCTGCTTGGCTGGCTGCCTGCTGTGGCAGAGGCAAACAACATCCTGCAAGAAACAGCAAACGTCAGCAAGCAACTACTTTATATATCTACACGACACGATATAATGCCATGTAATAAGAAAGCAACATTTACAAAAGCCAAATGCATACAATACATGTGCATATCTGCGAATACATGCACTGAATGATATATACTTATATGCACTTGTGTATTGCTATATATACTTACATATATATATATATATATATATATATAAGGAAAGTGTGCGGCGCGTGTAAATTGCAAAGAGTAAAATCTTGTAAAGGCAAATTCCTTTCAAATGCAACCATTTCCTTGGCACCAACCAACACACACACAACTACTTAAAGTTGCAACAGTGTTGAAAGAATACACACACACACACAAGCAGAGCTTTAGAACGCATTGCAAAATGCAATGCAGCAGTGAATGCTGGGTGGCTAAATTTACACAGCGCATTCAAGTTGACTTTTATATGTCATACAACAAACAGCAAGGCCTCCACCCACCCACAAACACACATTCTGCGTATACGTGTGTGCGTGTGTGTGTTTGTGCTAGTCGAGTGGCATGCAAAGCATGCTGAAACGTACGACTAGACAACAGTCCGAGACCAGTTGCCCAGCTGCACCAATGCAAGAATGAAAGAACACCCAACCAAAACATATATAAGAGAAACCATGCTCAGACAACTGTGCAGCACAGTGTAAAAGATACTAAACAAACATTCTAGTTTAGATACTTGCAACAGCAGCTAGCAGCAAGCAGCAGGCAGCAAGGGCTAGTGAACTGTCGGGCTATTGAGGCTGCCGTCAGTGGCAGGTGTCTGTGTATTTGTGTGTGCGTATGTGTGTGTGTGTGTGTGTGAATGAGACTTGACCAAAATGCTTGTAAGATGCTTAGCCATGGAGCCGACGACGCTGTTGCGGTCAACTGCTTGCAACTACTTGAATTGCATCATCTGGCCACAAAATTATCTTACAGCTTCTTTGTAAGCCATTGAAAAGCGCTTGAAGATAAGCCGCCGTCTTCAAGTTAACAAGCGTTGATTGATTGTTAGATATGTTCACATTTAGCCGCAAAGAATGTAATGAAAAATCGAGATGGAGTAGAAGGAGTCTTCAATCGAAAAGTCAAGTATTTGTTAATCAAACTGATTACGAACAAGTAAGTTTCTAATTTCTAGACCTTTGCGCTTTTGTTGCCTGTAAATTTTCTTCTCGAATATTAAATATTATTTTTTAAATCTTAATTCCCCGTGCGACGAATACGGTTAAAATTTCGACGCTTTTATACTTCTTTTCTGCTCCTCATTAAAACATTCACATCATTTTCCTTTGTTCTATTTTCATTATTGTATACGCGCCTTGATCAAATTTCCTTTTATAAATTTTCCTTTAATGAGGACTCTCAGCGTATGTATTCAATGTATGTATGTATTTTCTTCTGTATGCTTTAATTAAATTTTCGCTCGAATAACTATTTTAGTTAAGCATTTAAATTCTCTTGTATACAGCTTTTTTCTTTATTTACGCCCTAATCTATTGTCAAAACTATGCCAAGTCTACAACTTAATTAGGCAAAGCCGCAATTACATTCAAGAAAAAATCACCCCATTTGAGACTCAGGCTCAGCCCATAGCCTTTGGCAAAGTTCTTGTCTTCATATAACAGCAGACGCGGCGGCGCAGCTTTTATTTCATTTTCATTATTTTTGCACTCTTGCATTTTTTTTCATTAGTCAGCAGCAAAGCTGTCGCATAATAGAATTTGAAAAGGCTTTAAAAAACTAGCTGCGCTATGTTATCAAACTGAAGCGTATGAAGAGTAATGAAAAAATTGTGGAAAAGCGAGGAAAACTGAGTCGGGAAAAAATAGCAACATCAAAGACAAGCGCCATAACCCAAAAACATAAATCCTATGGAAAATAAATAAAGCAAATGGCAAAAGAAATGAATATGCTGCTAGACTACGCGAGTTGCCAGACTATATAGGAGGTACACTCACACACACACTTCCACTATGCTATGCAAGTGCGAAGAAAATCTATATGGAAAAAGTTGATAAGCGGCAACAAGGAACCGCTTTCTAACACCCAGAGAATCGAGCAGGGGAATGGCTACAATTGAACGGGCTGGGGTCTCGGTTTAGGTTAGGTACTCTCTCTCTCTCTCTCTCTCTCTCTCTCTCTCTCTCTCTCTCTCGATCTCTCTGCTTCCCTCTGGCAGCATTGCCATGGGAAGCTGCGGAGCCACAAAAAAATAATGAGATTTTGCCGCATGAAAATGACAGAGCAGTGCATAAAGAACTGAGCGTAAGAAAAAGACCAAAAAAAATAAAGTCCATTTCGTTGCAGCTTTAATGTGTTGAATGCATGCTGCATATAAAAAAAAGCAGAAATATTTATTGAACAATCAATTTTCACCTAAGCTACAAACTTTTAATTTAAGCGGAAGTATTAAAAGTTTACTATCAAATATAGAAGAACTGCCTATTAAGTTTGAAGAGCGTATATTTTGCGTTATAAACCTGCATCTATATACGCAGTGCCGCAAGAGATAATAAAACAATAAAGGACGTGAATTGGGTTTTAGGAAGGAGCTAACTAAAGACATTAAGGAACTACTTAAATTTCCAGGGCGGATTCAAGTATCAATGGAGGACACACACATGAAGTAACTGGATAAATATTAAAGGAGGACAGATGCACTTAAGGTAAGTTCAAGAAACTAAACAGGTATCACTGAATATTGTATTCAGTGAAAACTATTCATCGTTCCACGAGAAGAGCGCATCATCAAGTAACATTGAAGCTTGAGCATTAAATATATAGGTCTGGAAGTGAATCAATTGATTATAAAAAAAGTTAGAGGTAAACAAAAATAGAATGTGAAAAAACGACAATGGAGGAAAGCTAATCAAGGCAAACCAATTGACAAAAGAAGCCGTAAATGCAGTAAAAAGGTTTAAATTAAGTTGAATGCAAGAAAGATGACGCGAAGAAATGCGAAACAATGTTGGGCAATTGTCTATCAATCAATTTCAATCTAGGAAAATCATTATTGCAGTATAGAATTTGAAATTGGGAGCTTGCAAGAGAGAAACATATGTAAACAAATAACTAAAATATTGATTTCATTACCAATAGTAAAACTAGGCAAACATATCTTGTAAGATCAACCCACACACAACAGTTAAAATATTTGCCACCAGCCAATATTATTTACGAATTAAACTAGAATTAAATGAAGCGAAGCGTTCAATTTCAAAATTCAAAGTACATAAATTATCAGCTGACAATTGAATTACAAATGCAAGGCAGTTATGATGCAATATGATGATTAATTCATGCACTCAATTGGCAAAGACAACCAACACAATATACTTGGCTGCAAACTCATGAAAATAGGCTGTGTGCCAATTATCGAGTCCTAGAAGGCAGCCCCCGAGAAGAAGCTTACCTAAAATGTTTATGCACCATTGAAAAGTTGGCAATTATTATTATGAATTTACTTGCTATTGTTCAAAAATTATTGTGGTAAATGTGTAATCGGGAAAAAACACGAAAACTCACTTTGCTTGCGAACAAGCGAAGAGTCTGTCATTGATTTGATGAATAAAATATAATGCGCATACGCCACGTGTGAGGCGCACTCTGTGTGGGCTGAAATATTTATAAAGCACTAAAAAAAACTTGAGAGACTGGCACGCCCCCGCATCTGCAAGGTTTAAACAACAACAGGCCTAAAAATTAA